GCACACCCCCCCCCCCCGCCCCCAGTTCCCTCCCAATAAATAGGTGATCATTAGTGATATCTGCTGAAATGGCTTAACAGTGTACAGGTACTGTTGGGCTTATATCTTCCCTATGAGAAATTGCACAGCTCTTACCTGGTGTTTAGTTAGGGAAGAAGAAAAAATATGTATTCTAAAACATTTAGAGATGCAAAGTGGAAAAAGGAGTGTGTTGGCAATTTAGTGAGAGGACAGACGCTTGCATGTAGGACTTCTAGTTTCAAAGTGGTAGATTACTCCAGCTCTTTAAATACATAGTCATGGTGGTATCAACATGCCAGTAGGGGCTGCTGTTGTTTTAAAGTAATTAAGTTGTGTTTTCTGATGGTTTATTGGGCCACTTAAACATATTCTTGATGGATAATTTAGCTGGACTTTTTTACTAGACAGTTTTTTTCATGACAGTAACTTCGGAGTAGTAATGCCTTTAAAGAGAAAAATAATTTGCTTATTCATTTAGTCCATTGTGCTTATTGAATAATTAGCAACTAATAACCATTTTGTACTAACTTTTTGCTTTAAGATTCTGTAACCCATGTTATAGAAGTGGTAATTCATTTGAATGCCTCCATGGAAGAACTAGCTGTGCCAGAAGTATGTATACAGCTGAGTCCTGAGTTGACCTCGCAGGCCTGTTCTGGAGGTTTTGAGTATAGATTCAGTCCGGTAACTGTGAAGAAAGAGAACAGGTGTAGAGTTTTTGGGTTACTGTATGCGGTGATCAGGAAGCTTCTCAATCTGTAGCTGCTGCTACTAATGATACGAATATTGCAAATGGCCTGAATGGTAGTATAGTGCCACTGCTTCAACACAGTGAAGTATTAGAACTTTATGGATCTTACTTAATCAGAGACTGTTGAAGAGCAAAGGGGAGACAACTCGCAGGAACTAGATGCAGGTGCGTACCTAAGATAATAGAAGTGGCCTGCTTTAGAAGGAACAAGATGTACTGGCTACCAGCAACTGTGATTAGTGTACCGCTGTTGTTAGCTACATAGGCATAATATTGATAAGACTCTTACACCCTGTGGTGCTTTATTTCACAAAATCTTTAACTATAATTTGCATTGTTTGCTGCTACCTAGGTTCTTCAGTATAAATGACAAGAGAGAGCACTTTTACCAAGAATGTATTTCAGATTAGGTATGAGAACTTACTTTCCAGAATTCATTTGCAGTTCTTAAACTTTTTTTTTTTCTTTCAGTCACAATGGTTGTCGATGATACAGTATGGCTTTTGCAAAACAGACTGTATAGTAAAAAAATCAATAAATATTTTACTTAAGTTTCAACAGGAAAAAGTCTTACCATGGAGTTTTAAGGAAACAAACTCTAGCATATGCTTTTCTTTTTTGCCTCCCCTCAAAGCAGCCCTCTTCCTAATTTGAAGGACTACTTCTAACAGCTTCTGCTGACATCGCTCTGCTAGTTGCAGCAGGTCAAAAATATTTGCCTGTGTATGAAAAAAATTCAGAATATCTCCTAGCTCTTCTCAGGGGCATTGTATGTACACTTCAGCTGGGCCAAGGTAACTCTTCAATAAATCCACAGATAATACCACTTTAGATGGGTATATTCTTGAAAGGAAAATAAAAAGTACTTAGAGTATAATCAGAATGCTCAGTAGGGTGAGGCTGAGATGTTTTAAGGATGTCAGTCAGGGTATGTAGAATTAACTACTACTTGTACTTCAACTATTTGGAATTTGCTGCTAGCACAATTATTTTATATGTGAAGACATGCAAGGCATCTTGGTTTTACTTTCTTTCCCCTCCATTTTATTTGGGAGATAAATAAATGACAAGGTATGAAAGGGTGATATAATTGGATCCAAGAATGATATAATTATAGGGTGGTGGTATTACTTTCAGACAGTACATTGGATCTATAAAGTTCACTATTCCCAGCAAAGTTACACTGTAATAAAAAGTCCCATGGTATACACCGTGTTTTAGTTTTCACATTGACACTGAATTCATGTTGTTAAAGGGATTTTTTTAAGTTGTACGAGACATACCTTTTATGCAACTGCAGTTAGTTGTAAGTTTGTGTTAGGGAAATGTTCAACTATTAAAAAAAAAAAATGATTACCGTTGTGTGGAAGAGCTTGCCAGCATCATTGTGAAAAGTTTATCCCCTGAGGCACAAAATGTGCTTGCCCCCCTTGAGTGTAATTATAGAGTGATAATTATGGAGGAAAAAAACTCAACCTTCTGAAGTGAGCTGGATGGCAGTTCCCAAAACAGAGGTTGCACAACTGCAGGTCAACTTACAGCCCCAGTGAAATCTATTTGAAAAAGTTTTTTCAGACCCACAAGCTAGGAAGAGTGGTTGCTAGTAGGAAACTGTAGAAACTGCTGAAATAGATTCATTTTTGGTCATTAAAACAGTCTTTACCATGATTCACACTATTGTGGTTAATCTTTCTATTATAACAGTAGGCATTGTGGAAACAGAAATAAAATGATTAAATAACCAGTATGACATAGATTTTAAGTTAGAGTAGAAGTCACAATGTCTGTGGCTTGAAACCTGCCATTTATTGCAGTTCCTGAAGCTACCCCTCCAGAAATAGCCTTTACCTAAGAGGCCCCTATCCATTTTTCCTATATTTTCTTTTCGTTGATCCAGGTGCCATCCCGCTCACTTCAGAAGACTGTAACTTTTTTTTCTGGGTTGACAAGAAATCATTCCTCTTTTTTTCGTGGTTATCAATCTGTTGCCACGCTCAGGGAGGTCAAGCATGTTTCTGTGCCTCTCCAATTTCTGAAGATGGCTGACCCGTTGCATCCATGCCCCAACATTTCCAGAATAGTGCCCTTTTGTGAATGTGTTCCTGTGATGTCATTGTAAATCAGTGTTAGTGATGAAGTTGGCTGCAAGCCTTCTTTGATTCAGGTACTTGGCTGCATTTTGTATTTGGCTCCTTAGGAAATACAAAAGTTCTAGCTAACTTGCACTTCCATTCTCTCCTCTGCTGCTAAAAATCTCTATGTTTTAATTGTTCGCGTCTGAACTGTCATTTACCTTGGAAGATGCAATATTTACAGATTGCTTTTGAAATCTTTGTTCGTTTAAAAAATATCCCTGGTCAGTGTGACCTGAGCTGAGAGGACACACTGGTCCTCTGATGAAAATAAATAAATTCTATCTATCTATATATTGGCATATCTGTATAGATACAGTTCCTCGGTGCAACGTTTAATGTGATCTGGTGCACGTTTTGGAATATAAGAATAGCAAAGGTCTGTATATCCTGGTCTCCTCTCTGCAGAGGTGACCATAATCCAATGCGGAGGAAGAAAAAGAAAACAGTAGGCATATATGATACTGACCCTGTTTTGTTAATTGGGCCACTATCAGTCAGATAACAGTTAGGGTCAGATGCCAGGTCAACATAACCTGAGCAGAATCAACCTAATCTGTGGCAGAACCAAATACCAGCAGCCAGCCATGACTTAATCTGGGAAATTAAGTAACGTGTTTATTGTAAATTTATTGTAAACAGCCTGGTAAAAATGTTTTACTAGGAAAAGTGGAAACTCTTAGATGATCCAGCAAAGGTTTTAAATAAGAAAATCAGTAGTATGCCAAAGTTTGACTTGATTTCCTTCATTCTATGTGAAGAGAATGTATGATTGCAAAAAAGTGAAGTGTTTACATAAACTGATAAAAAACTTGAGAATTCAGCAGAATATAGCCACGTGTTCCTGAGCATTCTTCCATAAAAGTCTCACCATGTCTAGCAGGTCCTCATTCACCTTCACTATGAGGGGAATCATATTAGCCCTTGTGTTCTCCCTTGTGGGTAAGCTTACTTTTCCCTTCTTCATTTGTCTTTCCTGGAATTTCCTGGAGTTTGGTGAAAACAATTAGATTCAGACTGAATGTCATTCATGTGTCTTTCTCATCTCTTTCTGCAGGTAGCCAGAAGTTTGACATCGGTAAGTAAATTCACTTTTATAAGCTTCCTCAGTGACTTTGTTATGACGATCGTTTATTAAATATGCCTTACAACTATTGTGAAAATGGCTATTATTCCTCACAGACCCAGGATTTAGTAGCAGAAAGACTTACGTGTACAGCTATGAAGGCTTTATGTTGAATGGGCTTCAAGAAAGAAGTTTAGCCAGAGCTGGCTTGCGCTTGAGCAGCAAACTAGAGATCAGTGGGCTATCAGAGAATACCTACCTCCTCAAGGTACAGCGTCTTATTCCAAAGAAAACAAGCTAATAATACTGAGTTATAAATCGCATTTAAATAACTAAGAAAGCTATAGGAAATAGTACTGAAGACTTAGAGAGCTCTGTAGATTTTAGAAAATGATCTTCAAGCTGAAGTTTCAAAAGTGAGTAGTGATTTGGCATCTAGCCATTTATGGATGTTTGTTTTGCAAGTCGTTGGTAGTGTACGCTTCTCAAAACTTCCTGCGAGAAATGGAGGTGCCAAAATCAGGAGTCATTTTAGAAAATTTTGTTTTCTAACACAATGGAGTCAGGCCTGCTCTGGTTTTAAGGTTTGATTCTATTCTCGCCATATGTTTCCAACTCCTGTGGGAAGCCAAGACTTAGGTATGTAAAACCATTGTCATGGAGGCAGTTAATAAACATAGATTATATTTACACACTTGAAAAAAGTGAAAAATCATCAAAAAGGAGTGTGTAACAAAGTTTAATATTTGAATAATGCAGTAGAAGGTCTGTATGTATGAAATCATACCTCCATTGACATCATTAGGGATGGGACCTGACCCATCCTAAGTAAATACGTTTCAGACAAGTATTTTTATTTGTCTATGTAATTTATTTACAAATGAGATCTTTTTGTACCCTGAGTTCAGTGACAGAGCTCTCAGTGTTTTCAGTAGAACCGTAGATCTTCTTTCATTAATCAAGGCAAGAATTCAAAGTTATGAGCTAGAGACTGTGATAGTTTTCACCTTGAAATTGTTATATTGTGTGTAATCCACCAGACTCTGCTCTCAGAGACACCAGTGTAGACTAGCAGTTACTTCACCAAAGTGACTACAGTTGTTTCTGATATACGTTGTGCCTCTCTATGGGGAAAAATTTTTTTATAGTGCATTATTCACTACAAGGTAATGAAAAAATCAAGTTAATTTAAGCAATTCATAACTATGGATGAAATTTGGCAACTTTTTTTTAGTCAAAACAAGTGACCAGTAAATATTTTGGGAGGAGAAGAATTAAAATGCAACCTTTTAAACTGTATTTTTTTGAAATTTAAAATGATGTAAACTTTTAAAATGTTAACTTTCACCTAAAGCAGAATAATATTTAAAGGCCAAAAATATGAAGAATTTTATTTGAATCTTTTAAAACTATTTTTTGAATCAGCCTTTTTACCCTACATAGTTAATGCAAGTAAAATGTTTAAAATCTCATTACAAGATAATAATGATATGTTAACTGTTTTGTAACATCACACTACTGAGCCTACAGAGTTTATACTGATTTTAAAATAGCATAAGCAAGAGAGGAGAGAATGAACTGCTATATGTATATCTAAGCCTATATTTGGAAGAAAGAGTATATAACTAATGAAGATGTTAATTTCTTTCAATCTGTTTGCATATTTAAAACCAAAGTAATGTTATTCACTAATAGAAATAAATATGTTTTCTAACATTTCCTCTCAGATCCGCTCTCCGCTGCTGGAAGAATACAATGGAATCTGGCCGAAGGATCCATTCACTCGATCTTCCAAAATCACCCAGACGGTGTCTTCATGTTTTACCCGACCCTTCAAATTTGAATACAATAGTGGACGGGTTGGAAACATTTATGCCCCAGAAGATTGCTCTGATATGTGTATTAACCTAGTGAGGGGGATGCTGAACATGATGCAGATAACCATTAAAAAATCACAGAATGTGTACGAATTGCAAGAGGTTTGTTTTTTCTTTTCTAAAGCTACTCTACTGAAAGCATATATTCCTTTTGGGTGCTCTTCATTCAATTTCATGTTTATTTGCATCTACTTTCAAACATCCATCATGAAACAGGAAGTCCATTTTCATTCACGGAAGCGAAAATGCGTACATATGTGTTGAAGTAATTGCTTCTGTTGGAAATTTTGTAAAGTGTCTATATAAATGCTTTACCTGAAATGCAGTACTTTCAAGAAGAAAGAATTATTAGCTATTAATTATTTGTTATATAACTTCCCTAGTACAGCTGCTTCATCCATTTTATTTGCTCACTGCTCATATTAATTAATTGATTACTTTTTCATTTGAAACTCAGTTGACTTTTACTCACGTGTCTATTTTTTTAGTTCAATAGGATTAAGCATGAGTAATAATAGCAGGTTTCAAAACATAGTCAAGACTGCTCAGAATGTCCTTACAATTTTACTGTGCCATCAGAATCTTCATTCAATCCTGATGTAATTAGGAAGTCTAATTATCTCTCTTGATCTATGCAGGCTGGAATTGGAGGTGTTTGCCATACAAGGTATGTTATCCAGGAAGACAGGAAGAATAGCCGAGTGTCTGTTACCAAAACCATAGACCAAAACAGTTGCCAGGAAAATGTGATGACGAGTATTGGAATGGCTTACATCCGTCCTTGCCCTGTGGACATGATGGTATGTAAGACCTGAACAGATCTCCCTAATATCAAGCACAGCTGTTATATTCCCATTCATTCTGTGGATTTCTTTGTTCTCCTTTAGAAAGGAAGGCCCATAAAGGGGACTGCAGCTTTCTCCTACAAACTAAAACACTCAGACAGTGGTACCCTCATAACAGAAGTTGCATCGCAGCAGGTGTATCAGATCTCACCATTCAGTGAACCTACTGGTGTTGCTGTCATGGAAGCAAGGTGGGCCTGGGATGAGGTTGCATAAAAAAATGGAAACGATTATAAATTCTGGCAGTGCCTTTCACCACCAGTTGAAATGAAGTGAGAAATAAGCTCAGTAGTGGTTGGGTACAGCTGCAGGTACTCATAATTGGGGTTCCCAACTATACCGTTAAAAATTGAGTGAACCAGTCTTTATTTGTATCCCACTGAACTTTGCACTAGAATTGTGTGGAAGAAAAGGAGGAAAGCTCTTTTGCTCCCTTACACTATCAGAATGCAATTTTTCCACCATGGCTGTCTTGAAAAAAGGCTAATTTATACTGTCAGGAGGAAGATAGTGCACATAGAAATAAAATCACTGATTACACAGTTTTTTTACTCATATTCAGGAGACAGCAGTTTAGCTCATCCTCAGAATTGATTTCACTGTGGATAATTCAAATACAGTTTTGTTCCAATAATAATATTCTACCCTTTCACAAACTCTACAATTCTACTGTGATAAGAAAGATGAGTAAAGACCAAAACCATTATCTTCACAGTATTTGTGAACCAATAAATAGCCAAGGCAGATGGAGGAAGATAACTGTTTTATTCTTCACATAACACTTGCTGATTTCTCTCTGACTGCTGACAGACAACAGCTTATCTTGCTTGAAGTGAGAAGTGAACGAGGAAGCCCTCCAAATATTCCTATGCAGAGCCATGGAAGCCTTCGTTACCATTTCCCATCAGTATTGCCACAGATGCCGCTTCAGCTAATCAAGACAAAAAACCCCGAGCAACGGGTATAGCATTCTTAAGTCTTCAGTTTGCTTTGCTAATCAAAAATTTAATAAAAAGCAATGTATAATCATGAATACTAAATGATTTAACTCTCTCTCTCTCTTTCTGTGTTTTGTAACAGATAGCAGAAACACTGCAACACATAGTCCTGAATAACCAACAAGATTTCCATGATGATGTCCCATACAAATTCTTAGAGCTTGTCCAGCTCTGCCGGATAGTGAGCACTAATACTCTTGAGTCTATCTGGAAACAATTTTCAGATAAGCATCGTTACAGGTATTTAGTTGTATAGCCTTTGAAGAAACTTTTCATTTTTGGAGAAACAAGAGCTAAAATTAAGGATTTTTTTACCCGAATTGCAGGCGATGGCTGCTGAGTGCAATTTGTGCAACAGGCACAACAGAAGCACTCCAATTCATCAAGAACAGAATTCGCAGTGATGAACTGAACTATATTCAGACTCTTCTGACTGTTTCTTTTGCTCTCCATTTAATGAAAGCTGATGAAGACACTGTTCCAATAGCAGCAGTGAGTAAATCCGTGTGAATCTTTCCTATCAGATAACAACAGAAGTGATAACTGATGATAATTTCTGATTATAAAGTATTTTAGAGCATGGATTCTCCTCTCATATACACTAAGTTTGGATAAATGCTGCTTCATGAATTCCTATTGGCATTACTTGTGTGAGAGGAGAGTTCAGTCCTGTGTCTTCGTTTTGCTATATTGATATAAAAACCCCTCTCCTATAACAACTTCTGATAGTTATACCCATTTTAGTTTGCTAGGACCATGTGTCACAGCTTCTGCACACAAATCTTGGTCCACTTTTATATCTTACTTCTGAAATGTAAAAGGTGATTTTTATGTTTTGTCATTTGACTAGCTCTTTTAATTGCAAAATATTCCTATAGACTGGAATAAAGTGCTGCAAGTAGAAATATTAAACATCAACTCTTTTCACATTTACTATGAACAGAGTTTTTCCCATCTCTAGTTAGGTTTCTACTTCTTAAATAGAAAAAAATAATTTGATGTGAGAGTGCAGCATTAATATAATGGAGTTACGCATTGTTCTAGGGATAATCTATCTATAGATTGACATTTTCCCATAATCTTTGTATTTTCAGCCTCAATGCTCAATTGAGGAAAATCAAAACTGTGCTATATAAACTAATTTAAATATGCTTTTTTATATTGTAACTAATGGGGATTGAAGCTCCTAAATGAAACTTGCATGTAAAATGTTCTACAAGGCAATCTAATTTGCTTGGATGTAAACAATACTCAGTGTGAAATTGTTCACCTCAGGTAAACCCTGGTGATTTTCCTGGTCCAGAAGCTATGTCAAGAATTGCATTAAACACCAATTTAAATATGTTTTTCCTCTTCTTTTGGCAGGATTTAGTGACGAGTCCTCGAATTCAGAAAAGTCCCATGCTTCAGCAGGTTGCCTGCTTGGGATACAGTTCTGTCATTAATAGATACTGTTCTCAGACCTCAGCTTGTCCTAAAGAAGCTCTTCAGGTTGGTGGTCTTTTCTCAGATTGTTCTTAATAGCTTAAAACAATTAAGGCAATGTAGTAAATGTTAATAAGATACAGTGTAAAAATGCTAATTGGAGTTACAAACACATATTTCATAGGCCTTCTTCAGAACAAAGGGAATGAATCATTTTAGTAGTGTAGATATTTGCTTTATCATTGAAAACATCTAACCTAAAATCTTGAGGGAAGCTATCACTGAATAATTTTATTAAAACCAGTTGCTTTATTGTGATAGGATTTTCGGTGGGCAAGGGAAACACTTTGAACAACTTGTACATCGGTAGAAAAGACTAAACTGTGCTTTGTCTATAGCCCCTCCACGACCTGGCAGATGAAGCAATCAGCAGGGGCCGTGAAGACAAAATGAAGTTAGCTCTGAAGTGCATTGGTAATGTGGGAGAACCAGCCAGCATAAAGCGCATCCTGAAGTTCCTTCCCATATTTTCGTCGAGTGCTTCTGATATCCCAGTCCATATTCAGATTGATGCCATAATGGCCTTGAGAAAAATAGCTTGGAAGGACCCCAAAACAGTAAGTAGGAAATGTCAGGGACTTCTTTACTTAATGCATTAATGATGGAGAATATTTACTAATATATAAATCTAATGAATTTAAAGGTGCCATATTTGTGGATTCAGCAAGTTTGTTTATTTTTTAGAACAACGCAATACAAGCTTAGATTCCTGCTAAAGTTTTCTGCTAAGCTCTAATAATTGTTGGTCAGTAGGAAGCTTTCAGAAGCATATCAGCAGTGTATCTTCAGTCACTTGGCATAATCAATTAATTCCTATGCTGGTTGTATAGTGGAAATTTAGCTATCTAAAAGTCAGACATATAGTTTAAACTGCCTCTATAGTCAAGAGGAAAGAGATGTGTTCTATTGTTTTCCTAGGCAAAATCTCAACATTGTTCTGCCTCTATTTCTTTTAGGCCCTTTCCTTAAGGTCAGATGAGTCACCACTGACCTCCTGTTGACTACTGAGCGTGCCAGTGTGGCAAGGGCAGGCATGACTTTTGCCTTTCAGATGATTTAGATATCTAAAGGTGTTCTGTGCAACAGCACCCACTAAGACTGTCTTTTGTGAGCTGCTGAAGGTCCTCTTGCAAAAGTGGTGTAAAATGGTAAAACACACTCACCAAGTCAGTGGGGTTACTTCAGGAATGAATCTCTCCTGTTAGCTACAATTGTTTCCTTGAAAATTATTCACTGACCTTTGAATGTCAGCTCCTGTTGCACAAAAAGGTGTGCTGATAACTTTGGTAATGGACATTTCTTTCAGATTCAGTGCAAGCCCCTCTCACTGGCTGCTTGCTCCTGTTCTTGCATGACCCCTCAGTTGTGTTAATAAAAGACTGTAGAACCATGCGGTAAGCAAGATTATGGGACTTTTTTTCCATAGGGATAATGATCCCCTCTGCCATTTTTCTTGCAGGTTACATGTGGATCCAGCCTGCAAAACAGAAGCTCTAAATTATTGGTAATTCCAGGTACTGTTTTCTCTCTACAGGTGCAGGGATATCTCATCCAGATCCTTGCAGACCAGTCACTTCCCCCTGAAGTACGAATGATGGCTTGTGCTGTTATCTTTGAGACGAGGCCTGCCCTTCCTTTAATAACAACCGTAGCTAATGTGGCAATGAAGGACAGCAATTTGCAAGTGGCCAGTTTTGTATATTCCCACATGAAGGCTTTGTCAAAGAGTAGAGTACCATATATGTACAACATGTAAGTAGAGACAGGATTAAAATGGGTTGTTTTCTGCAAATAATAAATTCTACTACATTCTTAATAAGAACTGCATATTCTGACAAACTGGATCCAGTTTGTATTCTTGTGGGATGCATCTCATTTCTGGATATTGCTACCTATTCTTATTTTGTTTAGATCTTCTGCTTGCAATATTGCCCTTAAGCTGCTGGCCCCCAAATTGGACAGACTAAGCTATCGATATAGCAAGGTTGTTCGTGTTGGTGGTTACTTTGGTGAGTAAAAGCCCTTCAGTGATTGGGAAGTTTTCACTTCAGAAATACATTCTAGAGAAATAACAAGACTTTTGGAAACATAGTGTAAGACATTGTGAATCCCAGCCTGGATTGTGTCTAGAAAGGTCATTTAGAACAAGTGACTGGTTGTAAAAAGAGATTCTTTTTAATAAGACAAGACGTTTGCTAAGACTGATTTCTGTAACGTTTAGTTTATTTCTTCTTTCCGAAAAATGGATCTATTTCTTTTTACAAATTACTTGAGAAGCTTAATCGCTTCTCCCAAATGTCCCTTTGCTGCAGTAATGTATACTTAGCCTACGTCGGTTTAGCTGAATGGTCTCTTTGTATTCACTGCTTTCTGATTTCATTTCCTTGCTGTCCCAACCTTCTAAAGTAAAAGATTCTGCATTTAAGTAACAAATGGAGTTAAATGTGATAGTATATGTTAAAAAGTACATGAGTAACCATCTATTAATCTGGGCCTCGACAGTTAAAACCTACATGATGATGTAATGGTAATGGTAAAAAGCTGCAGAAATAAGACCTTGAATGATAAACAGAGTGGTTAGAAGAAAATATCTTTTGCTTGTTTCCACCCTAGATAACTACAAAGTTGGTATTGCTGGAGATATCTTTGTTATGAACAGCCCAGGAACGATGTTCCCATCAGCAATAATTTCCAAGTTGATGGCAAACTATGCAGGTTCAGTGGCTGATTTGTTGGAGGTAAATATTTTACTTAAAGCAACAATAGCAAATTAAAATGAAATTTGACTACTAAGTTTCCCCCCGTAAGTGTGTTTCAGACTTCTTTCTCATGCTGTTTTGGTAGGTTGGTGTTCGAGTGGAAGGCCTCACAGATGCCATAATGAAACGAAATATCCCATTCGCTGAATATCCCACATACAAAAAGATAAAGGAGCTTGGAAAAACTGTAGGTGTTTTCAGTCATGTAATATGTGGGTTATATGAGGGGGTATTTAGTGAGGCTTGTGGTACCAATTAAGCCCTGTTCAGAAGGCAAATTACCCACCTGATAGCCTGAATATCTCTGTGAAAGAAGGAGTGACGGGGGGCTGTAGGAGACATTTGTGTAATGTCTGCAGTAGCTTCTGCAAATTCTGACTTTGGCCCTGTTTCTTCACCATCTTATGTGTGGCTACAGAAGAAGCAAGGGAGGAGACAGGGAAGCCAGACATTGCGGTGCAGGATGTCTCTCATGTCCGACAGGTTTCCCCCTTCCTCCCTTCCATTTGCCTAACTTATTTTTCAAGAAGATCTCTTTATCTTCAAGAGAAAAAGTGATTTGTTGCTGTATTTTTAAACTGGGTTTAGCGTTACACAGACCTTCTGTGTTGGAATAAATGGTATTTCATCGGAATACAAAACACTGGATAGGAGGCCGTTTGTGAAAATCTCAGTGACAAGGAGTAAGTCTGAAATAGTGACACTGTGTTATTAACAAAGCAGCAAAGAAATCCAAGTGGAAAAGAAAAACTACAGCTTGGTCAGCAACAGCTAAAGTTTGCTTCTTTATCTGTTTCCTAGCTGCTAGGATGGAAAGAGCTGCCGACAGAAACCCCCTTAATATCAGCCTACTTGAAAATATTTGGCCAAGAGCTGGCCTATGTCAACATCAACAAGGAAGTCCTGCAACAGGCTGTGAAGGTACCAAGGACCCCTACTTTCCTTTGTAAGATTTGACACCATTGTCTAACCTAACCTCCTAACCTCTTGGATCTCTGTTTTACTGCAGGCTATAGCAGAACCTACTGATAGAAACATAGTGATGAAAAGAATCACCGCTCAAATACGCAATGGCGTTGCAGGACAGTGGACCCAGCCAGTATGGCTTGGAGAACTTCGATATATTGTCCCTAGCTGCATTGGTCTGCCGCTGGAATATGGATCATACACTACTGCTCTGGCACGTGCTGCAGTGAATGGTGAGTTGGGAAGTACAAGATCTGCTATACTAGCTCGGAGCACTAGATGAGAAGGACAGATTAAGAGAGGCTGGAGAAAGAAGTTGGAAAACAAAAAGTTAGAAGAAGAGCAAATTTTTTGCAGTGCCTTAAAATTCAGGAGGGGAAGTAGTGAAGATATTTGAAGAGAAGCTGAACACAGCTGAAGTAGCAGATGTGTCAAATTATTTCTGCATCATGTTTGAATAGACTGAAGACAGAAGACATGAGGTGAGAATCTAGGAAACTGAAGAGAGAAAGGTTACAACATTCAAGCCAGAAATAATGGAAGCTATATGGGGAGTTGGCTATAGAAACAGGAAGGAGGGGGTGGCTCCCAAGCAAAATATACACATAGACTAAGCAGGATTTAATGGCGGCAGAGAATAAAATGCAAAACAATCTAGAAGAACTATCAGTAACATTAGAGAAGGCAGGAAGAGAAGAGGGCTTGTGAGAAGAGACAGAGTTCTACTTTAGATGGAATGAGTATGAAAATATGAATTAGCCAGAAGTTATTTCAGTGGTTGTACAGTTGTGCAGCAGACTTTTACCTTGGGCAACATTATTTGATTCTTCTTTATGCTGACACAATGAGCTTTTCAAGCTGACTGTACTGCAGGTGAGAGGAATTTTCTTTTGCTTTTGGTTTGCCTCATGTTAGCTTCACTGCATGGCCATTTTTATTCCAGATAGTGAAATTCCCTGCCACAGGCAGTTGGGAATGTTGAAGTTTATACGGGTTAAAGAGATTGAAAAAGGTCACGAAAGAGAAATGTGAGAGAGAGGGTTACTAAAGAAACCACATATCACTCAGGAAAATTGTGAGCTGAAAAATGGTTGGAGATGGACACAGTATAAGGATGGGGTATATAGACTTGCCCACTTTTTACAGTTCTTTATGCATGCATTCATTCTTGGCTGCTCTTTTTTTTGTTATTGCTATTTTGTTTTAATAGCATATTTGTACCAACCCCCCCTTTTCATTTTTTTTTTTTTTGGAATAGACTCCTTGTAGCCAAATTGGGGAGGTAGGGACTGGGCAGACAGGCTATGAAGTGAATGAGAAGCTGGCTGAACTCAAAGAGTAGTCAACAGTTAAGTCTAATTGGTGGGTTGTTATGAGTGACATTAGTCAGTTGTCAGCACTGTGCAATGTCTTAATAATCCAAACTTTGGAAAAGAAGGCACCCCCAGCAAATCTATGGATGACACCAATTTGCTGGAAGTAGTCAATGATCTGGAGGGCTGGGCTGCCGTTTCAGGAGACTTTGGTGAGATGGAGAAATGGCCAGACAGAAGCATAATGAAGTTCCACAGAGGCACATGCAAAGTCCTTCAGTTGGGATGCAATAACACATGCAACTGTACAGGCTGGGCATCACCTGGAGAGAAAGCAGCTTTGCAGAAAAGGGCCTTGGAGTCCCAGTGGATGAGCTGATCATGAAGCAGCAGTGTGCCCTTGTGGTGATGACGGCCAACTGCATCCTGGGCTGCAACAGCAAGAGCAGAGCCAGCTGGGAAGTGATTATTCCCATCTATTTGATGCATTTGAGGGTGCATCTAGAATACTGTGTCCAATTTTGGGTCCCCCGGTTCAAGAAGGGGACTACTGTGCCCAGTTTTGGCTCCCCAGTTCGAGAAAGACGTTGACTGACTGGAACAAGTCCAGCAGCAGATCAACAAAATGGTTGGGGGCTGACACACTTGATGTACGAGGGAAGACTGAGATAGCAGTGTTTTTTTAGCCTCAAAAAGAGAACGCATGGGGAGATCTACTTCCTGTCTTTAACTATGTAATGGGAGGCTATAGAGAAGACAGAGCCTGACTCTTCTTGGAGGTACGTAGTGAAAGGACAAGAGGCAACAGACATGAGTTGCAACGAGGGAAATTCCAGCTGGCGTAAGGAAAAAAATTGCCACAATGAGAGTGGCTAAGGACTGGAACAGGGACCCAGACAGCTTGTGAAATTATCCTTGGAGATATTCAAAACAAAGCAATCTGATTAGTCTCAGAACTGATCAGGTATCCATTGACATAGATGGTGCAATGCTGGTTTCTTCCTTCCTCCACTAAAAGAAAGATAGTCTAGTCTGTAATGTGACTTTGCAGAGACACTGAGGTGAGCTTGCTCATTCACACTGGATTAGAGCACAGAACATCCCATTCTTGCTCTTGAACAGACAGATTCTTCCCATGGATGAGGACCTCTGATATTTTTCCAGCTCTCCAGGTCAGGCTTCTCATATCCATATTTTAATGACACTTTCCTCTTTTGCATTTTTTCTTCCAAGCCAGATCGATCTTGCTGTTATGGCCACTGCCACAAACAAGACACTAGGAGAGAAGGACCCTAAACTGACCCAAGATGGCCATTCTTATGTTCTTAGCAAGGACAGACCATATTCTTGAGTCACTGTAAATGTGCTGTTAAGTTCCCTGCTTTTTGGTGCTGAAAATTGTTTTAGGTCTTCTGTTGTATATAAATCCTGCTATCTCATTAGCATTCTTCTTTGCCTTTTTTGGAGTATTTTCAGTCTCTCTCAATAAGCTGTCAGAACGGAATGCATAGTCCCAAAAGACAGCACGCTGTTGTTCAGTGAAATGTCATTCTGTTGGCTTTTGCAGTTGTCATCCTTTTTAGTATTACCACATATTCCTTTTGTTGTCTATTTCTGTGACTGTTTCACTGATCTTCTCATTTGCTGCCTTCTTCCCTTCTTTCACTCTGACAGTCTTGACTGTTCAGAGTCCGTCAATATATGTAAAGCCTTCAGACTGCAACTTTGATTCTGAGTTTGGCTCGCTTACTTGCTGAGAAGTCCTCTGAATGCAGCAGTTTTTTAGGTTCATGTCAGAATCAGGATTGTTTTTTTACCAATGTGCACCAGCTCTGCTTTTTGAGTCTATTACATGTCATTTGTTGTCACATTGTTTCCATAGAAATCCTGCTTGAGCAGGGAGGTTGGACTAGATGATCTCCAGAGGTCCCTTCCAACCTAAACGATTCTGTGATTCTGTGTGAAATCCTAAAAGATTTCCAGGCTTTTTTGCAATTTTTCACTGTCTATTATTATTTCTACAAAAGAAATTTATTTACCCCATACCAGCAGCTTTTTCATCATTTTTCTTCCAAGTCATAAGGAAAGGTAATTATTACCCATAGTTCTAGAATATAGTACTGAGGTTGCCCACCATTCACTTCTGTCTTCTGGAGCCAGGTGTTTCTAAAATGTTTGTGTTATACTAACTAACAAGTTTTCAGTTTGGAACAACACTTTACTTTCCTTACCATGCTTTTATTCCCATTTTCAGTATGTTACACCAGAACCTTTAGCTATAGAATATGTTTTCCATATATAATGTTCAGTATTTTTCATACTTAAAGAAGAGCTTGTGTACCCAAAAGTTTGTCTCATTTTACAGCCATATTTTTTGAACCAATAAAACATATAACCTCTTCCTGAAAACAGTGCTTTCCTTATGTTCAAGTCCTTCCTTTCACTTTTACTATTTATAAATGTTATTCTGTCTGTTGCAGTTGATGGAAAGATGACCCCTCCTTTAACTGGAGACTTTAGACCTTCCCAGTTGCTTGAATCCACCATGCAGATTCGGTCTGACTTAAATCCAAGGTATGACAGGTTTCTAAGACTTTAGATATTGATGGAGGTCTTCCATGAAAAGGGAGAACTCCATGTTAAAAAAATACATATTCTTACATATACAATATACACAAATACATACACATACAAAATACGTATTCTTACATAAGACCACTTCACTCTGTTTCAGCTTATATATGCATACAGTGGCAACAATGGGTGTCAATACAGAATACTTTCAACATGCTGTTGAAATTCAAGGCAAGGTCCAGATGAGAGTTCCAATGAAGTTTGATGCCAAGATAGACATGAAATCAAAAAATGTTAAGATTGAAACAACTCCATGCCGTGAGGAAACTGAGATAGTGGTCGGAAGGTACAGTAGTATTACTTCAGAATACTTCCTGTTTCTCTTTTATGCTTCTGAAGTTCACTCTTCACTGATATCTTACAAAGGTTTCTAGATGTGTAGTGTGACTTTTCAGGTATGTAGCATAACCTTTAGGTTAATTTAGCTTAATTTTTATTTTAACTTTTTTGAAAACAACAAATGCATCTCAGATATTAGACATTTGTATAAGTTTACTTATACTTTGAAAACTTCCTATGATATAAGGAACTGATATCTCTTATGACCTCTTACTTGTGTTTTGTAGGTATTTATAAATATATTTACTAATATATTACTTTTTCTATATTCAAACATGACTCTATGATGTGACAGTCCACTGACAGGGACGTGACTCATTTAATCCAAACACATGAGGTTGATACCACTTACTGTTTTTTGTGTATATCTCCACAGACATAAGGCTTTTGCTGTATCAAGAAATATAGGAGAACTGGGTGTGGAAAAGAGGACCTCAATTCTCCCAGCAGATGCTTCATCAAATATTGTGGAAGAACCTTTCAAACCATCAGAGAGAACTTCCAGGGAAGGTGTCACAATGGTAACCTTTTTGTGCTTATATAGTAATATTTACCCCCTCCATGCTGCACACGTGCAGTTTTACCTATGATATGCTCCCAGTGTTATTCACAACCTTATCTCCAATCCAGCAAGGGGCTGACAGCATGCCAAGGAAACATTCCGATAGCTCTCAAGAGGATCATTACCATGGCACAGGAAGAAAAACACATAAACGGGACATTTGCATCAAATTGCATCGTCTTGGTTGTCAGCTCTGCTTTTATAGAACGTCACGAGATGCCAGTTTCATAAAAAATACGTACTTGCACAGATTAATTGGAGAACATGAAGCCAAAATAGTTTTGATGCCAGGTACAATATTGAGCACAAGACTTACCTGCTTAGGTTTGTCAGTGCAGCTTGAAACAGTATAACCTTCTAATGAATGTAATCGGTGTATAGTTCAAACAGATGCTGATATTGACAAAATACAGCTGGAGATTCAGGCAGGATCCAGAGCAGCTTCCAAAATAATTGACGTGGTAAGCTCAGGGTCTGAGGAAGAGGATGCGTCATCTCCGTATGAGGACATTCAAGCTAAACTAAAGAGGATTCTAGGCATTGAAAAAGTGTTCAAGGTAAGAGACTTCTTTGAGCCTGGGGGAAGGGAATATTCTCCAACAATTGAAGCCAAGGGCTTGAAGGGCAGTGTGGAGAAGTGGCATGGGACAGCAAGGACGGGGCTAGTTAGAATCCTGCCGGGAAAGGCCTGTCAGCCAGTGCCAGGCCTGGAGGGGACCCATGGGATGCGTCCTCTGCGCTGGGGTGACTTTTGGCTGGGAGGAGTGGGCCTAAATGAATTCTGGTGTAGCTTCTGCAGTGAGGGGGCAAGGAAGTTGTGTTTCCTTGCAAGGCTGCACTGAGCAGCTTGTCTGATACCTAGAGAAAATGTGTTTTGTAAATCTGGAACCAGATGTATCCCCTCTCTTCCTCTTCTCTTTGAACTGTTTTGCAGGTCACAAATAAAACACGACACCAGAAGAGACCTTCTAAGAAAGAAAACACTATGTTAACAGAACTCAGGACAGACCCCAGTGGAAAAACTCCCTCTGTCTCCTCTTCTTCCTCCTCTACAGTCTCCTCTTCTTCCTCATCATCTGCTTCCTCTCCTGATCATAAAAAGCCTGTGAATAAAGATGAGAATGGTGAAATAAAGCAAGCTAGAAACAAAGATACAAGCAGCAAGAGCAGCAGCAGCAGGAGCAGGAGCAGCAGCAGCAGCAGCAAGAGCCACCACAGCAACAGGAACA